TGTGACCTCTGCGGGGCGAGGCAGTGGGAGCTGGTGTCTGAGGCCACCGGGGCTGCTTGTGCAGGCGGCTGGGCACCACAGTGAGCGGGGCCATGCGGGCGGGTGGGTGAGGGGCTGTGGTGCAGCAGCCACCTCCCTCCAGCCCCCCTTGGGGAGCACCAGCTCGTGGGGCTGTGCTGCTCGGGGGATGGAGATGTGGCGTATTTATTTCTCCCCTTCAGTCTCTGGGGCAGTAGCTGGCTGGATGCAGAATGGGTCCCTCCTGCCCCTGCCCACCAGCAGCTACCATGAACCTTGCAGTAACAGGCAGGTGCAGTAGGGCTGCACAGGCAGGGTCTCCGTGGCCCAGGACAGAGGGTGTTTGAATGTGGCTCACTGGCCCACGGGGTGATAAAAAGTTCATGATCCGGCCCCGCATTCAAAAAGGTTGGACACCCCTGCTACAGGCTATATAGCAATTGCCAAAGTAGGCTGTCTACAAAATCTCATGCTTCTTTGTAGTCTACGAAGTGCCACCTACCCTGCCTAACTTCAGGCTAACACTGCTAACATCTTTTTAATGTCATACCAGCATTGTCCAAAAGGTGGCAGGAAATCTTTTCCCTTTGTATAGTTCCCTTCTTTTTTGATCAGAATAAACTCTGCTAAATCCTGGCTATTGAAGAAAATGCACTTAACTCCTGACCACACTAAAGCTACCTTTTCACCAAATTGGTGGAAAGGTTTCTCTGATATTCAAACATGCAGCTATCAATCTCAACCAGTAGCCTTTAAGTATTTGGAGATAAAGAGATTAACTACACAGATAACTAAAAGGCAAACACCTTTTTTTGGCTGTTTCTGTTTGATTTGCCTCCCTTCACATACAAGTTTGCTCAGGGCAGACACATAACAACACACACATTGGCACAACCATTTACTCTCTCCACACAGGCAAACATGACAGTAATTGCTTCATTTCCTTATTTTAGGGCTTGTATTTTTAAGCTCTCTTATGTCATAGCTTCACTTATCTCTAAGCCCAGGCCACATGAAACTCTGTATAAGCACCTACTGTATCCTTTCACACGACTTTCATGCCATGAACTTTGGCCTCCTGTCCCACCTCTGAAATGAAGGTCCAGAGACTGCTTAATATAACACACTGCACTCCAGGTCAGTTTAACGTAACATGAAATAGCATGCAGGCACTGCCAGAGAAAACAGTACTTTGCTGTTTATACATAGAGACTGACCTTAGACATGGTGATGTGGACTATCTTGTTTGCAGACTGCTAACTAATGATATGAAGAATGTTTGATTTCCCTTTCATACCCTTTGGACGGTAAACATAGACTTAATGTCATAAGGTTTACTCTCAAGCTTCAACCAGTGGCTGAAAAAGAAAACAGCTTGTGGCTTCCTCCACCATAGTTTAATCACAAAAAAAGCTTTTACATTCACATTTTTCCTCACTTGCTTGACACCAAAGGTGTGATGTCTGATATTCTGCTCAAAAATCATGTTTATCTACTGACTGGAAACATGCCTTCATGTCATGGCAAGGAAAATGTTAGTGGTAAAGCAATAGCATCCCTTTAAAACTTGCAAGCAGAAACAGCTTGAGGAAATGGTCAAATTTGAAAGAAAAAGATTCATATAAAAAGTAGATTAAAGATGAAAATTTGCATATAATCTGCCAACTATTGCAATCCGTTAGAAAAACCACGGTAATACCACTGACTTCAATGTGCAGAGATATACAAGATAAAAAAGGGCAACATAAAAAGTGCACTTTTTATACTCTACAATATACATATACATTTATTTTAATGCAATCTATCCCCACTGTTACATACATATTAACTGAAAGAAGTAATCCAGATCTTGGTTATGGTGGCTAACTACTCAACTGTATGGCTAAGATAAGGTGCCACTGGTGTTTTATGCTGATTGTGGGCCAGGTTACCATTTAGTATGAATCAAAATGGAACCATGTCAAATTACATTAACTGAGAATTTGGCCATGTGTCTTTGAGGCTGCACAATACAACATGTCAACACTGGTTTCATCCACTATGTAAATTACCCTGGAATCCGGATAGGACAGCTCAGAATAGCTGTTGCAGTAGGTACTATTAGAGCAGTGGTTCTCAACATTTTTAGACTCCAGACATTTCTTGAAAAATGCCAACTTACTTTTCATTCGTTTCTTGACTACAGAAAAAATAACAAAGATTTTTTCTGTTGCAAAGAGCTCAGAAAAACCACAACAGGTAAGAATGTTTTTATCACTATGAATTACTATTTGAAATTTCTGGGTTTATCTTATGAATCATGTTTGCACACCTGACAGTACTAATAGTCAGCTTTTTAGACCAAACACAGCTACAAGCTATATACCTGAAACATGAAGGTATTGTAGTTAGTCATTTGGAAGTGTAAACTTCATTGCTAAACAGGAAAAAAGCAAAATTTAACTCCATGCCTGACAGCTGAGACCTTCAGGAAAGAAACCTGCGGGACCTTTGTGCCTGCCTAATCTGCATATTCAGCAACTTTTTTACAAATGGACTTTGAAACCCAGGGGAACCTCACCATCCTTCACCTCCCCTGTGGAAGATGAAGTTTCTTTTCTACCTTGGAGAACCTTTACAATCTCTGAATTCTCCTCTGCCTGATGAAGGGTGTTTGGACCCGAAAACTTACAAAGAAAGAAT